AAGAGCTGTTGATAACAATATCAAAGGTGCTGCATTTTCATTGCAGAAAGCATTGATACCAGGATCTTCAACAGAAATTGTATTTTGATTGGTTGACTCTTTTGCATGAGGCTCTGTATGTAATAAAGTGTTATGTGGTTGCTTACATACTCTACAATTGGATGATTTGCATTCCTGAAGGGAATGATTCATATTTAAGCAGTTTGTGCATAATTTCAGTTTTCTGGCATTGTCAAATCTTTCGGTTGGTGACAATTTCAGAAAATTCTCACAGTGGTAAATCAGATGTGCTTCCTTACAAAAGTTACATTTTGGCTTGAAATTAGCTATATGGCTGAATGATTTTTGTTCATTTTTCTTGAAATTATAGTTTGTTGCATGCTTCTGAGTATGGGAATTGTAACGTGAATTCAACTGATGGGGTGTGGAATTATTTGGTGATAATGTTTCCAATAATTGACATCTTAAATTCAAAAACTTACAGAAATCATCCATTTTTGGTAATTCGTTTGATTTTATAGTAGATTCCCATTCACGTTTGCTTTTGTAATCTAATTGTCCCATGATTCGATAGGCTGACCTAAAGTTTTCAGTGAACGAATATCTTTCAGAAAGCTATCTAAAAAACTTCTCAATAAAATTGGAGATTCCTTTGTTATTGATTGAAGCTCAAAAATGTTCTTGAGATGACTGCTAATTATTACCCTTTTGTTTTCAAATCGCTCTTTCAAGAGCTGCCATGCTATTTCATAATTATTGTCTGTTATTTCCAAAGAATGGATTACCTTTTCGGCTTCACCCTGTAGGCAAGACTTCAAGTAATAGAATTTCTGAACATTCGATAATGATTGATTTGTGTTAATAAGAGAATTGAATGTATCAAAAAATTGTAAATATTCACTGTAGGACCCTGTGAATTGTGGTAATTGAATGACAGGTAGTTTGACGTTTTTCAAACCGAACTGCTGCTGATTATCTATCATTTGATTAATAGGTGATTGAGATGAACTCGCATCATCATGATGAGTATTTTGTTGCATAATTTGAGGATTTGATTGATTTGTCTCAGACATCGTTTCAATAGGCTTGCTCATTGAAGCTGTGATAATTGTATGTGCTCTACCAATTACATCAAAGTAATGATTCTCAAATGGGGTGAGTTCGATTTCATCATCTTCATTCTCGTCTAAAAGTTGAATTTCAAAATGATTGTTGTAATAAACGTTTAATAAAGGTTCAATAACTTCAAGTCTCTTGACAATTTCACTGATTACCCTTGAATCATCGAAATTTCTCAAGTAATTATCGAAACGTGTTATTTGACCTTTCAGAGTTCGTCTTTTGAGATGCAATGATTTCAGTTTTTGTGTTGTTTCTTCGTCCATTTTGAATGAATATACGCTTGATATGAGATATCACTAGAAGAATAATGCTCTATACTTTTCTAACTCAATTGACGAGGAATGATAGGGGATAAGGAATTGTATGGGATGGAATCACTTCAAAATTGATGCAATGATAATCAACCTCACGTACCTTGCTGATCTTGTAGAATGCAGAGATGACTTGGAATGTACCGAACTGCTGCTCGAAATTGTGATGATGCTTGATAAGCCGACTGCTTGAATGCTTGCTGGGGGCTTGATTGAATTGTTGAATTGTTGAATGATTGATTTGAAATTGATAACTCGACCGATTGAATGCCGGCTAAGTTCTTGAATGAATGCGGATTCCTGTTATATCCAACTCGATAAGGACCAAATGTTATATTTGAAAATACGCAGTTTGATTCTGCAAAGCTTTTAATCGAAGAAATTGGAATATGAATGACAATTAATTCTTATTGACAGTATCAATTATTTATTATTAAACAAAACAACGGATTCTTGGTTGCTTGGTGAAAATGAATAAACCACCTATGAATTGGAAGATTGGCAGAATAGTGAAGCTGCATCCAGGAGCAGACGGCGTCAGTAGAGTGGCCACCGTCAGAACCTCGTCAGGAAATTTCAAGAGACCTTTGACAAAGCTGTGCATACTGCCTTTCGATGGCAATTAGTTTTGGTGTTGAAAGCTGGTGCTTTCAAGGAGGGCGGCATGTTAGGATTCAAGAGATCATCCTGTGTAGCTGTTTGAAGGTGTGGCAGATGTCAGACATGGAAGCTACGTGATTTTATTCATTTTCACCAAGCAACCAAGAATCCGTTGTTTTGTTTAATAATAAATAATTGATACTGTCAATAAGAATTAATTGTCATTCATATTTCAATTTCTTCGATTAAAAGCTTTGCAGAATCAAGCTGCGTATTTTCAAATATAACATTTGGTCCTTCGAGCCGGATATGAACCAGCGAAACACCCTGTATATTTTTTCATATTTGAAACATTGATGCTTCGCGCTTTTCAAAAATATATAACACTTATACGATATTCTGCGTATAAGCCATGAAATTAGATAATTTCTACTTTTTCAGTAGATTTTTCATCGATTGGCCTTGTGGCAACATTGTCCATATCACAAATTTTAAAATTCACCTTATTGCTGACACAATTTCTCGTCACACAATAGTTTCAATTTCAACAACACTTAACATTACAAATATTCATCAGCACTATTTATTGACTATAAAAGATGTTGACCTTCTTAGTAGTTGGCTATGAAAAAAACTGATTGTAGAATGTTTTTATTCCTTGTCACCTACCTGTTTTTCACAAATTGTTCATAGGATGGCGAACACTAATCCAGAATATAAAAACTATAAAATATTAGATATGGTTGGGATATAAGCTGGTTTCTAAATTCTCGTAGTTTTTATTTCCTGGATTATATTTTGCCGTTCTATGAGAAATTTGAAAATTCGACAGGTAGATAGGTTGATGACCAAGGTACAAAATACATTTGTTTTCGGCAAGTCAATTGTGGAAGCTTAAAATAATAAAATACATAGACGTTACAGTAAATTCAATAAAATTATAAATTGATATTTCTCAAAGCCAAAACAATATAAACCATGTTTGAAATTCAAGAATTTGGTACAGCGGTTTCCTTGCTAACTGTGGTTATCAGATTCAACAAATGGCGTGTGGAAATATTCTTCGACTGTATAAAAACAATGAGTTAAAATATGTTTCTTAATTGCGGACTTAAATGATTTTGTATTTTCACCCAATAACCTTATACCACTAGGGAGACGATTGAATAAAGTGAGTTTTTCGTTGACTTTGCCATCCTGTGGTACTCTTAGATGATTAGCATTCCTTGTCATATAGTTATGGACATCTGAATTTGTCACGAGGTTCGTTCTATCCCTATTAATTTTCAACAGTGAAACAAAAATATATAATGATGGAAGAGGCATTATATTCAAACTTTTAAAAATTGGTTTACAGTGGTCTCTGAAACCAGCACCGGCTACGATCCTGACAGCACGTTTCTGCAAACGAAAAATGTTTTCAGCATGACAAGATTTACCCCACAACATCGTGCCGTAACTGAGATGAGAATGAGATAAAGCGAAGTAACATGATCTCATAGTTTCTCTGGATATCTGTTTCCTCAAATTGCGTAGCACGAATATTGTGCTTGAGAGTTTTCGGGATAATTCTTGAACATGACAAGACCAATTTAGTTTATCATCGATGAACAAACCAAGCAGCTTGACACTATCACCTTTAACAATGTTATTGTTCGTTGAGAAAATGAGATTTTGTGTTTTATCGTCATTGAGTTTGGGATTATTGGAAGTAAATCATTTTTTAGCACGAGAAGTAGTTATAGAACTATTCACCCTCAAATCTTCAATATCCGAGCCACCAAGGTTGTGTTGTCTGCGAAAACAACACAAGTCTTGGGATGCATGTTATGAAACAGATCATTTACGTAAATAATGAACAAGAGAGGACCTAACACAGAGCCTTGTGGTACTCCATGTATAACTGATCTGTATTCAGATGATGAATCATTGACGCTCACACATTGTTTCCGATTACTCAGATAAGATCTGAAGAAATCTAGTGCCAATCCCCGAATTCCAAAAAACCTCAGTTTTTCGACCAATATACTGTGAGAGACACAGTCGAAAGCCTTGGAGAGATCACATTATGTTACATCTCTTCCTGAATCCAAATTGGCATGGATCAATCAAGTTATTAGATTCCACGTATAACATCAGCCTGGATTTCAAGATAATTTCGAATATTTTTGAGAAAATTGGGATTATGGAAATAGGACGGTAATTTTCAATTTTGGCAACATCACCTTTTTTGAAAAGAGGAATCACTTTCGTGGCCTTGAAAACATCGGGGAAGTTCCCTTCCCGTATACACAAATTGAAAAGTTGTTTTAATTATAACCTTCTGCACTCGCTTTATTTTTTATTCGCCACTACTAATTATTTTCAATTATAGGTCCATAGCTTTATAATCAATAAATACTGCTGAATATTGGAAAATGTTGGTGAAATTGAAATTGATGTGTGACGAAACACGGTATGTATCAGCACTAAGGTGAATATGAAAATTCGTGATATGGACAATGTTGCCACATACAAGGCCCATCGATGAGATATCTACTGACAAACTAGAATTCATCTAAAGTAATGAGTCATCCTTGAAATTTCTTATAAGCGTTATATGGTTTTGAAAAGCACAGCTAACACCCAGGGGGAGGGGGGGGGGGCAAAATGCAACATATTCAATTTCGCCCTGTATCTCATAAAGAAAGCGTGCTATGACAATTTTGTTTGCGATATCGTGAGTTTCACAAAAAAGTAGCAAACGTTAACGGAAACCGCAAATCTCAAAAAATGGGACAGCCTGTACAACATTATTTGTATGATGAAGTATGATGACGTCCCATGACAAAATCACCCAAAGTATTTTTTCCAAATTAACATGTACTTTTATTTCGTTGTTTTGTTCTCTATCACCAACTTAATTTATCGCCCTAATTTCGGAAACACCCTGTATTGATTAGTGTGTTTTTTTCGGTGATTGTTTAGGTTGGTGGCCATACCAGGTTAATGGTTTTGAATTCGACCACTATAGTGAAGCCGCTGAATTACAGAGAATTGGATTTCTATCAAAATATTCAGGAACAGGACATTAAAAATTTCGTACCTACATACAAAGGTAAGCTGAGTAACTTATAAGAAAAGTGCTATGGAAAAGACTCTAATCTTAATAAGTGCTTCTATTTAAATAGAAATGTGTATTTTTCTTCAAGACTGAATATTTTGAAGCTTTAATAGTATAGTGACATTGTAATGTTTATCGGAAATAAAACATTCTTAACTTCATCTGCATGCTTTTTTGATTTTGATATGGTGTCTGTCACTGAATATGAAGCTTTCAGCGAACACTCTGTATGTCAAATTCAAAAGTTCATCATTCCATCATGTTTGATACACCTTCTGACGTTGAAAATATAGATAATTCATACGAAATATACCACTCGATTTTATTATTTATGATTTTGGTGCGTAAAAGGAAGAATGAATGAAAACATATTGCGTTGTTTTAATGTATTATTGTATAGTTCCTTGACAGGAACGTGCGTTTTGTTGTTCAACAAAAATTCAATCGAATTGAAATCACTAGGAGATTTTAAGAGAACTCGGTAAAGGACCCCGCACGAAAACACGGTAAATTGGCTCTCGGTCGAATTGGCTGAAATTTTACTATGTTATTGTGGGATGGCTCATTAGAAAAATATGTGAGTTTAAAAAGTTTTGTATGTTTAGTTTCTGATATATAAGCCGACAAAGTTCGTAAAAACGTCGTATCGCCCGTATCGGGGTAGGATTGACAGAGAAAAAAACTGTTTTTTTATAGTATAAATGAAACAAAATAAGCTAGAAAATATATTGATCGGAACTCATAATCATGTCTAGTTATAATCACAAATTATAGTAAATCAGGGTGTATACGAGGCACGGTCAAAAAAATCATTTCTCGGAAAAAAATTCGAGCACTATTCCCGAGACTATTCCAAAACCAACAAGTTATATTTTGGTGGGATATTATAGGTTTAGTCTATTGTAGGCTTCGAAAACGTATTTTGATTCTTGATTCTGTTCGAAATATAAATTTTTAGAATTTTGTGTCATACCCCTTTTTGAAAACAATTGTCAGCTTGTTTTTGATCACAAAGAAAGGGATTGATTGATACTGTTGATTGAATGAAAGCTGAGGTTACTTCCAAAAGGGGTATAACACAAAATTCAAAGAATTCATATTTCGAACAGAGATAGTTATCAAGAATCAAAATACGTTTTCGAAGCCTACAATAGACTACAACTATAATGTCTCATCAAAATATAACTTGTTGGTTTTGGAATAGTGCTCGAATTTTTTTTTCCGAAAAATGAATTTTTTGACCGTGCCTCGTATTCACCCTGATTTACCATAGTTTATGTGATCATAACTAGACATATATTTGAGTTCCGATCAATACATTTTCTAGCTTATTTTGTCTTATTTATACTAAAGAAACAGTTTTTTTCTTCGTCAATCCTACCCCGATACGACGTTTTTACGAACTTTGTCGGCTTATATCTCAGAAACTAAACATACAAAACTTTTCAAACTCACATATTTTTCTAATGAGCCATCCCACAATAACATAGTAACATTTCAGCCAATTCGACCAAGAGCCAATTTACCGTCTTTTCGTGCGGGGTCCTTTCTGAAGAAACCGGTTTTTACAAATTCATAGCTTATTATGGGAATCCTCGCAATTACAAGATATAGAGGGTGGCTTGAATTCAGTCGAAAGTTTCGTCCCTGTGTCATTTCATTTATTTTCATAATACTTCTGTTAGCATCTAGCAACTAGATGCGCTACTGCTCAGTGGAATGTGCTTAGATCAGAGCCTATGACAGACGTGTGTGAAGACTGGTTCATATAGTATTCGGCTGGCTGCCGAGTTGTGAGCAAGTGTAACCCTTTTCCATGTCATTTGTGCTCGTGTTTGTTATATTATGTCGTGTTTTTTTTATTATTATGTATTTTTGTCGTCCTTATGTCATAGGGTGGGTTTCCATTGAAATGGAAAATGAATTACAGTGACCAGATTATCTTAAAACTTGAAAAAAAAAATGTAGAGAGGATCTTACATCAATGTGGTGAAAATATTCAAGGGTAGAGTCCTTGCGAATTAGGAAGAAAGTTCAAGGAAATGTTTCCAAAGATACTTATTTTTTCAGATACAGGTGTTTAGTAAAGATGTTCAAATTTTTTTAATGCATTCTGTCTGAATATGTTTGAGGGATATTTTTTCAACTTTTACACAAACTTTTCAACAAATATGTGAACGTAGGTAATATTTTTCATATTTTTAATTGATCAATCTAATAAGGATATTTTACTTGAAACCACCAGTAGCGTGACTATAATTGATTCATATTCATATCAGTCAAATTCTATTACATCAGAGAAGGTATCTTGCTGTTACAAACAAGTCTGTAGAAATTGAATAAAGCCAGAATTTGAAAAAAAAATTAAACGTCCTGTAACTCGAAAACTACGCTCAAGTTTTTACCACAATTTGTGCTCAAACAAGAGATATTTAGAATAACAGAAAATAGTTTCAAGTAAATATTTTTTGATTCTTTGATTTGATGCCATTTTGATGCGCATTTGGGATTCATAATGACTAATGACTTTATTACAGACGCCAAATAGAAGAATAATATTCATGAATAATGTGTTGAACAACGACAAGTTAATAACACAAACAATGTGCTAAAGCAAACTCCATAATTTTGATTATTATTCATTCATTCAATTGTTGTGATACACCATGACATTTAGGAGGCCAACAAAAAAAACGAAAGAAAATTCCAGGACCGTATTCGAAAAATAAACTTGATAATGGCCGGCCAAAGACGAAATGCAAGATTTCAAATTTTATAATGCCAATTATATTAAGGAAGAAAAAATGACTGTTGGATTTTGGAGTGAATGTGGTTGGGTGAAATAATTTCAGTCCATCTGAATTGCGACAATATAGCTAAGGAAGAACTTGATAGAAACAATTTTGTAAATTTTGTTCTCCTTCGGTTATTTTCTGAAATTCGAAGCGATATTCTGTTGGGCAAGAAATAGACTTTGAGCCACCTTGTATTATGGTGATCGCGATTCCCATAGTTAGTCACGAGTTTGTAACGCCTGGTATAGAAAATTAACACTTAGATGGTATCCGAACCATACCATGTCATTTTCACCATTACAGATTACAGTGCATACCAAAAAATACGTAAGTGACATGAAATATTCCGAGGTAAGTGTGATTCATTGAATCATTATTTTTTACGCTTGATAAAAGAGTTGGCAAGACAGTCTATTTTAAATCAACCTATGAAAATCTGCCGCAAACATTAATCTATTTCCCTTTTTGAAAAATTGTTACATCAGTACCAGCGTACATGCATTTCAAGTAGTGGGGTGATCGTGTTCCTTTCTGCAATATACACAAAGTTATTGCGTACCTATATTATTATGAATATTAGTCGTCAGTAAATGATGAAAACAAAAAAAAAACGTATTTTTTAATCGACTCGGCCGTGACTTGATGGAAATCCATAGCAAATGTGAAAACTTCACAGAAACGATAAGATTTCCACTATTTTCTTATAAAGTAAATATAGTTTATTTCATTGTACCAGTATATTTCACCTGATGAAGCTACTGTGTTAGCGAAACATGTCCTGTGATTTAGAATTTTGTGGAAATCGCTTAGAGGCGCAAAGCAAGTCAGAGCTTGATGGCTATACAGGGTGATTCATTTAACTGGTGATCTTGAATGGATATTAGATTTTTTAACCTATAGAAAGATGCTAGTAAAAGTAGGGGAGGCCATATCAGAATCTTACACTATGGACAGAGGAGTTCCTCAGGTATTATCTGTGTTGGGGCCTTTAATATTTTTACTTTTCATAAATGACTTACCAAAACATTTAAAACATTACCTTTTAACCATATATGCGGACGATCCATATTTGGCAGTCTCTGCACAGACCTCGAAGGAACTCATGTCTTCTATCAAGGATACTGTACGAACCTTCGTGAATTGGTGCAAGTCCAACTGTTTGATGGTGAATGTTGAGAGGACAGAATACGTATATTTTCATTCCCATTCACGTACTCTTACTATAAACTTTGAGAACCAAACAATGATTGAATCAACTGCAACAACAAAGTTCTTGGGTTTGAATATTGACTCCAATCTTCGATGGATAGATTAAATTAACGCTGTTAACACCAAAAGAGAAGAGAATGAATATAGGAATGCATTTCTACTGGAATATACAGGTTTTTTTATTTGAAATAACAATAAAGTTATGATTATTCGAAAGATCATCAGACATATTGGATTCATCTGTGTATTTTACTTTTCTGTATCAATTCTGATTAATTAAACAACACCGAAAAAAAATTTGAAAATTACAGCATGTACCATTTGAAATAATCACAATTCATGTGTAGCCCCACGTTCAAAGAACATCCTGTTGAGATCAATATAATTTTGATTTGTAGATTTTATGAAAGATGGATATTCTAAAATAAACTTAAATACCCTACCTTTACCTACCTACACCACATCCGAATTGATGCTACAAGACAATTTTTTTGTTTTTCGAATTTGAAAATGGACCTGTTTGAATTGTTTCAACCACCTAATTGTTGTTTTTGGAATTATGGAATTTGTATAGCTTAAAAAGTATCCACGCTGTATATAATAAATGTAAATAAGCGTACTATCGTGATTTCTCATTAGCCACAATTAACAGAGAGGGCTATTTAAATCATTGCTGATGTATGTACAAACGAATAGGTCTCCTTTGAATAATATTTGATAAACATATTTATCAGTTCAGGTACTTATTATCCTATTATACATACCTACCTATACCATAAAAATGTTGATAAAGAATCTGAATCATAATTCTGCATTCAAAAACGCATTAGGTACTAATAATAATATGTATACAGTGTGGAGACTTTGTGAATGTGAATAATTTTTCTAAAAAATCCCGACATACGTTTTAATGCAAGCAATATATACAGGGTTACTAGTAATTCGATACATTCCTTTGGAGATGTGATGGGGGAGGTGGTAAGGAGTGAA